AGGAAGACTTCCCGTTTCTAGGCGTTGTCGACGCATCCGAAATCGCTCAACTACAACGAGATGACCCGGATTTGCTGGCGCTTATACAACACCTGCAGGGTCTCGACGTTCAAGTCCCTCGCATATTCTCCAGAGGGCTCTCCGCGTTCTGCCTTCGAGGAAGTGTCCTTTACAGGAGAAACTTCGAACCTAATGGTGAAACGTTTTTACTAGTCGTGCCCACAGCCATGCGAGAGGAAATTCTGCACGCATGCCACGACGAGCCAACATCTGGACACATGGGTGTGAGCCGAACATTCGCCAGGATTCGCCTGAAATACTATTGACCTAGGTTGCTCGCATCAGTGCAGCGCTACGTGAAAACTTGTCGTCAATGTCAACGGCGCAAAACTCCACCCGTAAAACCAGCCAGCCTTCTCCAGCCAATAGACCCTCCAGATGCCCCATTCCAACAAGTTGGCATGGACTTCCTAGGACTTTTCCCGACATCGTGTGCAGGCAAGAAATGGATAGTCGTAGCCACAGACTATCTCACCCGTTATGCTGAAACTGACTCTATATACAGTGCGAAAGCTTCTATGAAGACGTGGAATCGGCAATGAGTAAGATAAAAACACAGTATACTATAGTGATGGGCGACTTTAATGCAAAGGTAGGGAAGAAGCAGGCTGGAGACCAGGCAGTAGGAGATTATGGTATCGGTACTAGAAACGCCAGAGGAGAGCTACTAGTAGAATTCGCAGAACGCAATAATTTACGGATTTTGGATACCTTCTACCGAAAACGAGAAAACCGCAAGTGGACATGGAGGAGCCCTAATGGCGAAAATAAGAACGAAATAGATTTATAATGAGTGCACACCCTGGAATCGTGCAGGATGTGGAAGTGATTGGCAAGGTACGATGCAGTGACCATAGAATGGTATGGTCTCGAATTCGCCTAGACTTGAAGAAGGAACGACAGAAACTGATACGCAAGAAGCCAATCAATCAGCTAGCACTGAGAGGGAAAGTACAGGAATTCAGAGTGTCGCTGCAGAACGGGTACTCGGCTCTTAGTGAGAAAACCAACCTTAGCGTAGATACAATGAATGATAATCTGACGAGTATCATTACGGAGTGTGCAGTGGAAGTTGGAGGCAGGGTAGTTACACAGGACACTGACAAGCTTTCCCAGGAAACAAAGAACCTAATTAAGAAGCGTCAAATTATGAAAGTGTCAAGTACAACAGACAAAATAGAACTGGCAGAGCTTTCGAAGTTGATTAATAGACGTAAGGTATGCGATGTAAGAAGGTATAACATGGAGAGAATTGAACACGCTCTGAAAAACGGAGGAAGCGTCAAAGCAGTGAAGAGGAAACTTGGGATAGGCAAAAGTCGGATGTATGCACTAAGGGACAAAGAAGGCAAAATAACTACCAATATGGATAGGATAGTTAAAATAGCGGAAGAGTTTTACAGATATCTGTACAGCAGCCGAGACAACCACGACCTTAATACTATAAGAACTAGCAGTAACCCATATTACACCCCACCAGTAATGATAGAAGAAGTCAGAAAAGCTTTGGAGAGCATGAAAAGGGGCAAAGCTGCTGGTGAGGATCAGGTAACATCAGATCTGCTGAAAGATGGAGGACAGATTGTGTTAGAAAAACTAGCCACCCTGTTTACGAGGTGTCTCCTGACGGGAAGAGTGCCAGAGTCTTGGAAGAACGCTAACATCATCTGAATACATAAGAAAGGAGATGACAAGGACTTGAAGAATTACAGGCCGATCAGCTTGCTCTCTGTAGTATACAAGCTATTTACAAAGGTGATTGCTAACAGAGTAAAGAAAACATTAGAATTCAATGAACCAAAGGAACAAGCAGGATTTCGAACAGGCTACTCAACAATTGACCACATTCATACTATCAATCAGGTAATAGAGAAACGCTCAGAGTATAACCAACCACTATACATAGCCTTCATAGATTACGAGAAGGCGTTTGATTCAGTAGAAATATCAGCCGTCATGCAAACACTGCGGAATCAGGGCGTAGATGAAGTATATATAAACATTCTGAAAGAAATCTACAGGGGATCAACTGCTACCATAGTGCTTCATAAAGAAAGCAACAGAATACCAATCAAGAAGGGTGTAAGGCAGGGGGACACAATTTCCCCAATGCTATTTACCGCGTGCTTACAGGAGGTTTTCAGAAGCCTAGAATGGGAACAGTTAGGGATAAGAGTCAATGGAGAATACCTTAGTAACCTGCGCTTCGCCGATGACATTGCATTGCTGAGTAACTCGGGGGACGAATTGCGACTCATGATTACGGAATTAGACAAGGAGAGCAGAAAGGTGGGCCTTAAAATTAATCTGCAGAAAACGACAGTAATGTACAACAACCTCGGCAAGGAGCAGCGCTTCGAGATAGGTAATAGTGCACTTGAAGTTGTAAAAGACTATGTCTACTTAGGGCAGGTAATAACCGCAGAGCCGAACCACGAGATTGAAGTAACTAGAAGAATAAGAATGGGGTGGAGCACATTCGGCAAGCACTCTCAAATTATGACAGGTAGATTGCCACTATCCCTCAAGAGGAAGGTATATAACAGCTGTATCTTGCCGATACTTAGCTACGGAGCAGAAGCCTGGAGACTTACAAAGAGGGTTAAGCTTAAATTGAGGACGACGCAGCGAGCAATGGAAAGAAAAATGGTAGGTGTAACCTTAAGAGACAAGAAGAGAGCGGAGTGGATTAGGAAACAAACGGGGGTTAAGGATATCATAGCTGAAATCAAGAAGAAGAAATGGACATGGGCAGGACATGTAGCGCGTAGACAGGATAACCGCTGGTCATTAAGGGTAACTGACTGGATTCCCAGAGAAGGGAAGCGGGTTAGGGGGAGACAGAAGGTTAGGTGGGCAGATGAGATTAAGAAGTTTGCAGGTATAAATTGGCAGCAGCAAGCACAGGACCGGGTTAACTGGCGGAACATGGGAGAGGCCTTTGTCCTGCAGTGGACGTAGTCAGGCTGATGATGATGATGATGATGATGATGATGATGATGATGATGATGATGATGACAGTGCGACAGCTGCCGAAGTCGCCAAGTTCTTTGTGAACAACATAGTGCTCAGACATGGTGCGCCCATCGTCGTTATTATGGATCGGGGCACCGCATTTACTGCAGACCTAATGCAATGCCTGATGCGCATGACAAATACCGATCACAGAGAACAACGGCGTATCACCCTCAGTCAAATGGCTTAACCAAACGCCTCAACAGAACTCTGACCGACATGCTATCAATGTATGTCGATGTTAAACATAAACAGTGGGATGAAATATTACCCTACGTAACATTCGCATATAATACAGCCGTTCAAGAAACAACCCACGTTGCCCCTTTCGAACTAGTATTCGGCCGAAGAGTGACCATCCCGCTGGATGCCATTTTACCACTACAGGACGAAAGCAGCTATCCACCTGACTTAGATGACTTCTTGCAAAGAGCCGAAGAAGCACGGCAAATGGCAAGATACCGAATACGCCACCAACAGCACGTCGATTCTAGTCGGTACAACAAGCGACGCAGTAACGCACTTTATCATCCCGGTGACAAAGTGTGGATATGGATACCAGTGCGCCGCCGCAGACTCTCTGAAAAGCTTCTTTGCCGATACTTCGGCCCTTATGAAGTACTCAACCGTATCAGCAACGTCGCTTATGAAGTCAGATCCGCTGGACACGTGAGTTCAAGACGCCGCAATCCCACGGAAGTGGTACACGTAGTCCGCATGAAGCCCTATCATGACAGATCGTCGAAAAACGAGTAAGAGTGCGCATGTATCTTTTCACTGTCTTAAGCATCGGGACGATTCGTCTGAGGAGGGGGGTAATGCTACGACAGGTTCGCCACGTTCAAGCAGCCCTTCACAATAATCGTAGCACCAGCACCAGCAAGACCCGGCTCGGCTGGCATGCGCCACGCATTCGGGCGCTCCAAAAACGAGGAAGAGGAAGATAGTTGGACCTGTGCCACTCGGCAACTTGGACTTGACGACCATAGTCTTTAGAATCGTGGGCACAAGTTCGCCCTAATAAATACGCTTGTTTTTTAACCTGTCGGCCTCAGCATCGCTACAATATCTATCGTTTACACAGTGAAATTCGTAACATTTGACGCTGTCCTAATTTCATACCTCTAAAGAAAAATTGTTCCTCAGTGCCCTGTTGGCGTTTTGCTCATGCGACAAATGTTTTACACTCCCTGAAGCAAGCTGGCATACAAAAGCGTCCCGGCAAAAACATTGAGGCTTCCACATAAACTATAAGCGAATCATGCGGCCAGTCACATAGGCATGCGTTTGTACGCATTTGTCTTTTTTTTTTTGCCTTGAATAATGTGAAGCTATCACGTTTCAGCTGACGGTTTTTTTCACTTGCGTGTGTATTTTCTTGCAGACCCTTTGCGACACTGTTTAAAAACCAATAAATAGGTGATGGAAATAGAAACAACGAGTTCGTTATTTTCTCCTATCGTTCCCCGCTATTTCGCCAAAATTCGTGACGTCAACAGTCTGTTCTCGCAACGTCATGAGGAAATAAATGCTAGATTTCCCAGATACGAGGGATACCATTCGAGAATTTTTTCCCTCTCCTGCTTTACCATGCAGTCGCGCGCCCTTTTTTCCTCGTCTTGCATGACAGTAGCACCTGATCAGCCGATTTCATTCTTTTTTTGTCTTTTAGATTGTGCCAGCGGAGATAACAGCATGTAGCCAAAAGCGCGAATTAGTTACAGCGTCAGCGTTCACTGCTGACGTGTATCACACGCTTTGTGAATGAATAAGTGGCGAGGAGAGTATGTAGTCAGAAAGAAGGGCAGTGAAAGCAAGGGAAATACCCTTTCTTGTCTTTTAACTCGTAATGCATTAAGGGTCCTGTAAGAACCAATTAACACGGAGTCTTTTCATGTGAAACCGTTGCTGCTATGTGACCTTACCCGTTCCAAAAGGAAGAAACGCCGCTGGCTTCTCATCCACCTCAGTGCCGTCAGCTTTGAGAAATCGCGTGGGATCATACTTCGATGGCTCGGGCCAGTAGGCAGGGTCGTTGTGAAGTCCCCACAGGTTTGCAACCACCATTGTGCCGGCAGGAACGTGGTACCCGCATATTACCGTGTCACGGCCTGCACTGTATAACACACTTTGGAGCTGTCGCGGCATAATGACCGTCGTTTGTATGAACGAAAACAAACCACCGTGCTTTCTATGCAACACAATGACCATTAATCTCCAAAATGATATCAAATCGGGTCATTCACTTTTGTGCTGTACCTAATGTCAAATAGCATATAATTGCCCGGAAATTCGTGTACACTAATGTAATGTCATTTGGTGAACATGTTGGCCTGACCAAGCAATGCTTCTCTTGAAGATTTTGCTTTAACTTAAGCTCTTGGTTGTGTTTTATCTAGAAAGGCCTCCGATCATTTATTTCAGCACTAGACAGAGCAGCAAGCTGCCATGCGCCTAATTTGAATCTTCCTGCATTTTCAATTATTTTGGATGGCCTAACCACGTGGTTTATTGCGCATTATTTACTGTACATCTGGTCCCAAGAAGCTCTACAATGCCAATGAGCTAAACGTACTCTCAATGCCGAATAAATGTACAAGCTGCCTCTTATGTTGAGTACACACTATATTTATTTATTTATTATTTATTATACCTCAAAAACCCCAGGGAGGGGTGTTACATGAGGGGTGGGCAATACAGGGTTTCTTCCATGTGCGCTTTGAAAAGAATGGGGCTGGAGTGGCGCACGACGTGGGACGGAAGGTCATTCCAATCCTTCGCTGTCTGAACAAAGAATGACCGAAGGTGAGCAGTTGTACGGGCATGCGCAGGGTAAACTGGGTTGTTGTGGTTAGTGCGGGAAGATATGCGATGCGCGGGCATGATAACAGATGCGTCGGACAGTGAGTGAAAAAAATAATGAAAAAGAGCTAATCTAGCGACTTTGCGTCGCAGTTCAAGGTTGGGAAGATGGGCTTTAATCTTTAAGTTAGTAACGCTTGTGTGGCGTGAGTAATCGGAATATATAAACCTAGATGCTCTATTTTGGACAGATTCTAATGTTTTGGATAGATTAGGTTGGTGGGGATCCCAGACGGCGCAAGCGTATTCAAGCTTCGGACGGACTAGTGTTTGATATGCTAAAAGTTTAACAGAAGGGGGAGCAAGTCGTAAATTTCTTCTTAGGTAACCAAGGACTTTGTTTGCTTCGTTAGAAATGTTTGTTATGTGGGAGGACCAAGTAAGATCTGGCGTAATGTTTATACCTAAATATTTGTAGGAATTCACCAGGGATATTTCGCAACCAGAAAAAAAGTATGAAGTAGCCGGGTGAGATTTCCTGCGATGAGAAGAGATGACGGAGGTTTTCCTAATGTTCAAAGTCATGAGCCATTTTTTGCACCAGGTTTCTATAGTTATTAGATCATTTTGAAGGATCTGGGAGTCATTAGGGCAGTTAGTAGGACGATAAATCACGCAATCGTCAGCGAATAGACGGATTTGGGACGACATATTGCTAGGTAGGTCGTTAACATAAATTAAAAATAGAAGGGGACCGAGCACCGTACCCTGAGGTACACCTGAAAGGACAGGACGCATGGTAGATGATGTCTGGTTGGAGTAAACGAACGTTTCCCGGTTTGACAAAAAATTTCGTATCCATTCTAGGACTGCTGGGTCAATGTTTAAGCGAGAAAGTTTTAAAAAAAGGCGTTTATGGGGTACTTTATCGAAAGCTTTTTCAAAATCTAGGAAAAGGGCATCTACGGGAACATTCTGATCTATACTTGAGCTGATGTCGTTAATAAAGAGCGCTAGTTGTGTGTCACAGGAGAGGCCTTTCTGAAATCCGTGCTGACTGGGATGGAAAAAGTTTACAGAGATCAGGAATTTGACTGTTTGAGAATAAATTATATGTTCCATTATTTTACAGCACGCGCATGTTAGTGATATGGGCCGGTAGTTTGCAGGTGAGGATGACGGACCTTTTTTGGGTATCGGAATGACCTTGCCAACCTTCCAGTCCCGTGGCACCACTCCAGATGACAGTGATTGCTGGAAGATGTGCGACAATATGACAGCACAGAAATGTTTGGTATTTTTTAAAACTTTAGAATTTATACAATCAATACCAGCTGATGACGTCACTTTTAAGGAATCAATGACTTGTATGATGCCATTTGGTTCGAAAATGACACTGGGCATAGCAGGGCAATCATGGGACGGCACACATGGAGATACATCGGGAACACATGAAAATGCATCGTCAGGTTCATCAGTAAACACTGAGCAAAAACGTGGAGTTTAGTGTTTCGGCGACCTTGAACTCCGGGATGGGAATATCATCTTCATCTAGTAAAGAAATGGGTTTAGCATGGGTTGGGTTGATAGTGTTCCAGAACTTTTTGGGGTTTGTGCGTAGCATGTCTGGTAGGGTTGACGAGAAGAACGTCCTGTTAGCGTCCGAGATCATGGATGCGTAAAGTTTTTCAGTCTCACGATATTTTTCCCAAGCGTTACTGGATTTTGATTTTTTGGCTGACCGAAATTGTCTTTTCTTTTTGTTGCTAAGTCGTTTCAAAGTATTATTGTACCATGCCGAAGTAGGCCGTTCTGTGATGGTAACTTTGGGAATGTACATGTTTATTAATTGCTGCATTTTGTTTTTGAAGAGCTCCCAGTTCTCGTCAACAGAACGTTTGGAAAAATCCACGAGGAACCAATCGGAAAAGGAAGCTGGTTCATCATTCATTCCTTGATAATCTGCTTTGTTGTATAGGGTTATCGTCTTTTTTACTTTTTTTGGATTGGGCAAGTTTGCATTGAAAAGTGGCATGAATGACGGCATGATCACTGAAGCTGCTCGGACTAGAAACGGACGAAACTTTATCTGGTTGGGTCGTGAGAAATAATCCAGTAAGCTTGATGAATTAAAAGTCGTTCGCGTAGGAAAGCTAATCATTTGAGATAAGTTGAAAGTAAGGCAAGTATCTATGAAGTCACTTTCAGTGTTCGGTTTCGACATTGCTAATGCAATGTCGAAACCGAACACTGAAAGTGACTTCATAGATACTTGCCTTACTTTGCTAGCAAACCGCGTTTTTTATATGGGTTTAACGATCAAAACTTTGTTCGGGAAACTTTTCCAAGAGTTGTTTGCACTCTTCGGTGTATAGTACCACTTTGAAGCCCCATTATGAACTCTGAAGACAATCTTGATCGGCGTGTGCAAAGACATTGTCTGCTGAAGACACCAATTGACTGCGCGAGTCTTTGTCGTTTGCAGTGTTCCATTTTTGTTTAACAATCCTATTGTTCATCTAGACTCCAATCAAGAAAAGGGGAAGTTGTAGAGCTAGTTTTTCTATGTTAAACACATTATTAACGATAACATCGGACGGCAATCAGTATTTTATTTTAACCGCTATTCGCAGTGCTTGTTGTTGTTTTTTTATATCATTACAGTATGCTTATATGATTGAAGAAGGACAAGGTAATGCTCGTAAACCTGGTTACTATGCAAAGGCGGCACTAGGCACACAGCCCTAAACAGTAGCGTTTTCTGATTCGCAACCGTCTGTGTTGCATGTGCCATTTAGCACGTATTAAAGTGCTGTTTCTGATTCCTCAATTTGTGTATTTTTCTACAGCTTCGGATGTCCGTCTAAGTATTCCCTTAACTCATGACCCAGCTTTTATTTCTAACTTCCTTGAGCGATACAACTTTCCCATACTTGCATATCTGCAAGAACACAGGTATGCAGCTACGAATGGTGGCACAGCTATAACAGGCACTGCATTTTAATACGCGATGGAACGTTGCTTCCAATGATCCACTTACGCCCTCTGCAGACCTAGTGGAGCCGTAGTCCTCCAGCGGAGTGCCTCCAGAATGCACGCCATTGTAAACGGCGTCCGACGCCTGTCTTCCCAGGCGGGCGGCCGTCTTGCGTCCAATCGCTGCGTCGATTTCGCTCTGTATTCGTGATTGCTGACCGTCCGGGTCACTGGCCGCTATGTACAGGTTCCACAGGACTGCGCTTCGCACGGTGTTGGTAGCTGCACTGTAGAAGTTGACCGTGCTGCCAACGAGCGTTGAAACTGCAAGAAGACTTTTGTGCTCACCAACTAGATTGCTTTAGGTAAATGTGTAATGACTATCATTATTAGCAGCGGTTGCTGCTAGAATCGCACCTACTTTGCATTGATTCGAACTCGTTGAATATTGAAAGACTTGTTTTCGTCAGGGCAATGTTCGCTCTTCTTAGGAGCTTTGCTGATTTGACTAGAACTGAAGCTAATTCCTTTTGTCGAAGTGTTGGCTTCAGCTGCATTCCTCGTTCAACATCATCTGAACACTCAGAGCCTTCATCTTTCCCAAATCGTTTATCTTGCTTGCGATCGATTACGATATAGCTACATTCAACAAGAATCTAGTAGTTTGTATTGAACGTATCTTAACCGTGAACATGTAGACCGGCTCTCTTTTTTTTTTTCGCCATGAAGAAATAGCAGCTTTGTGGTTTAATGCTGACATTTTTCTTTTTTTTACGTAACCGTAATAAAGTGATTCATACGTATTTGTAAGCCAGAAGCAGAGTCATTACTTCAAGAATAGAGGCGGGAATGGTTCGACATACAAACTGAAAAACTCGAAAAGGGACGGAGGCTGAAACCCACAACTTCACACCTACCCAGATCTTGCTTGGACACGCCTATGTGGCGTGCAGTAGTCGGAATGAGACTGTGTGAGTTACGTCTTCTGAAAGTCTAATGTGTTCAAATACTCGAGATGATTAATCGGTGAACAACCCACACATACACACACACCTACGTACACGCCTACATACACACACACACACACGCGAACAGGCATTGTTGTGTGCACAATGTTCCAAACCTATACTTTCTTCACCAGACAATGTCACGTATTGATGTACAAGCTTTTTCTGGTAATTTTAACTGTCAATACCACAATAACGTTGTCATTTTGAGTTCTTAGCCACTTTACGAACTCGGGGGCTTAGCCATCTCAGTGAGGGAATAATATGGGGCTGTTTTCTGCAAATTTTGTCAAAAAGGTGAACAACTGGCATTTAATCTTTTTGCCCCCCCCCCCCCCCTTCTTCTTTTCTTGTTCCTCTCTTACTGTGCAACACCGATGCTCCATTTGTCTCACGTACCCCTCTTTATGTCTTCGTAGCCTCCTGCACCCCTTCGTTCTTTTTTTTTCCCCGTCTTCGCGAACAAGCGTACTTTGTCTCCACTCCCCTTATAAGTGCTTCCACCCAAACTTACGAGTGAAGTGGGAATCCTTCCCTTTGTTTTCTTCAATCTTTCTCAGGTATCCGTCAATGAAATCTTTGTCGAAGTGTTCCTCCATAGCTCCTTCGCGTTCCCGCACTTCAGTTTCTGCAACAGATGATGTACAAATTACTGGTGTTGTCGACCAACGCTGGAAATTTTCGCCATTTCTTCGGACGTGTACTTTAAAATTCAACAGTATTTCGGGTATTCAAGGTTTTGTTTTGCCAGAACACTGTCCTAACGACCACACTTTCTTCGTGGTATGGTATTTCTTATTAGTGCTACAGCAGTACAATGCTGCACGAGTATGCACTACACGTAATGGCAGCGTCCCTTTTACCGTAACTAAATACGCCGAGACATTATCGTATCGTCGAGGCGATCCCGTGTTGCATTATCTTCTGAATCATTTGGTATTTTCTGAGGACAACACCAAGCACAAATTGAATGATCAAGTGGTATATACATAGCGCAGAGAGATAAGCTTATTTGTTAATTGGAAATAGAGTCAATTCAGATCATTGGTGTCTGTCGAGTATAAGATGTGCCTTTGAAACAAAATGTAAAGCTTCAAAAGATAAAAGCAGCCTGCTTTAGAACCCATTGCCATCAAAGTGGCTGCACCGCGTTAAAGAAGCGTTGTGAAATGACAGGTGGCACTTTCCAGTCGGAGATTGTTATAGAGAAGGGAAAATAGCGCGAAGCATGGGCAGACAAAGCGCTACAGAAGAGGCGGACAGCATTGTTTGCCTGACTTTGGGAAGAATTTTTTTTTTTGTTCAGACATTATTCTTAAGCCTGCTTTTGTTAGTTTTTCGCTTCAGCGGGAAGTATTGTCAATCAACCGGAAATTCCCGAACTTCATAAGTTCTCTCACCTGATAAATCGGCTCAGCTCTTGCAGTACAGACTTCATGGCGTACAACTGTGTGGTTGGCAGGTGCGCTGCCACGTAGCGAAGTGCCGGCAGAAAATCCGTGAGGGAAAAGAAGTGAGCTTCGCGCAGCAACTTGCTCAGCATTCTCTCGACGTGTCGCCCCTTCGGATCGCCCAGTTCGTAGCGTTCGCCGAAAACCAGAGCTGTGATGTTGTTAGCGACACTGGATGCGAGCGTATGGGCCACCAGCATTGGCTCTTTCTTGCCTGATGCGAGCACAGCCATAAAGCTCTGCACCTCTTCCTGATAGAGAATTAAATGCAGAATAATTGTCAATGACGCGAGCGCTCGTTGGCGCTGTAGTTTTCGAATTAATGTGACAAAGAATTAAGATGGGCAATTGCTGTCGGGGCACTATTTCCCTCCCTTGTCTTCTACGAAGTTGTTTCTTTAATACAATACTGAAACTTACTAAAACCTTGCTTTCAAAAACAGTGGCAATATTTTCGCGCACGTCTCGTGTTAGTTAACATTTGTCTTGGTTAAGATTATTTGTAGCACTGTGGACAAACAGAAAATGACCTAGACAGTTACAAGCAGTGAATAAGAATGGAGCCTCACGACACCTGCAGTGCAAAGCAAGAATGTATTTCATGAATAACGTAATCACAGGCGTTGCCGAATGTATCTCGGTGGTTTTGAGGAAGGGTTCAACCACCACTTCGCACGTCGTTGCTGTTGTAGTTGTTGTTGTTGTTGTTTTTGTTGTTGATGATCATGATGATGATGATTATGATGATGATGATGATGATGATGATGATGATGATGGTGGTGTGTGTGTGTGTGTGTGTGTGTGTGTGTGTGTGTGTGTGTGTGTGTGTGTGTGTGTGTGTGTGTGTGTGTGTGTGTGTGTGTGTGTAAACTCGCTGAGAAAATTTTTTTCTTTGGGGTGGAGGGAGGGGGCAGGGAAGGGTTTTCGGGATGCCCTACCCATCGCGGTGGTTTAGTGGTTAGAGTGGTCGACTGCTGACTTGCTTCTCGCGGGTTGGAATCCTAGTCACATCGGTCGCATTGTCACGTAGGTGATATGCACTATGTCCATGCACTAAGATTTAGCTGCACGTTACAGAATCCCAGGTAGTCGAAATTTCCCGTCCTCCACTGCAGCGTCCCACATAATCCTATCGGGGTGGTTTTTGTATGTGAAATCCAAACAAGGAATAATGAATGTAATCAACCATAATCGTGTGTAGGCTTTTTCATTAGAGGGGGTCGGGTGTCACCGCAGCAGTTCTTATTTGTCACACACATGGTCTAAACTATCACCTCTGATGCTACTACTACGTATAATGGTGGGAAAAAAACGACTCTTACTTGGATATGCTTCTCCATGGACTTTCTCGCAAAACCCAGGTCTCTCAACACGTGAAAACAGTACCGCCGATTGACCTGCCATTGTTCTCCGTTGATTGAAGCGATACCTTTAGTCAAAAATAAAAGCAAAAAAAACAGAAAAACTAATTTATCTGAACTTTTCCGAGTATGCTAAAGCAACAGTGGTGAGAAATCAGTATCGATCCAAACCTTTTATTCCAAGATGACGAAATATAAAATCAGTGGGCCGATATAACACGTCTGGGTTTGAAAGTCCCTCCTTGATGGATGTGAGATCGTTCAGAACGAGCACGTCCTTGCAGCCAAGGCGAAGCCTGAAAGGTTTGAATTGTCTTGAAGGATTTGCTTTAGTGTTATCACTAGCAATATCTATGTTTCGGCTGCATGCGGGTGTAGATGACGATATTTTACTGTAAACGGCCTTTGTTATTTTTTACGGAGCACTTCAAAAAAGGGGAAGCCAGAAAAATGCTCATCCGCAAAAGCTCGATAAAACATTAAACTGACGTCTGTAGCAGTTACCCATCATAGTATTAATCATGACCAGTTTACATTTCCTAGCATCGATATTAGATTCTCAAAAAATAATTTGCAATTCATTTCGGCCTATTCTTCCATTATGCATTTTGTCGCATCTTACCGACAGAATATGTGAAACCTCATTTGGTGTAACGGCCTGGCGATGATCACATATTTAATGATGCCTATATATAATAGTGCATGAGATGTGAAGCTACTTTATAATATATCTCTTGGGCTATACAATGATTGGCGTCACCGTCACTGTTGCCGTTGGTAGCGTAACCAAGCCATTAAAAATAAGAAAAAAAATGCCCAGGATCAAGAGGACGCGAACAAGGGCCTTCGTCATGGCAGTCCATTATTCTACAAAAAAGGCCCTGAGACAGATGGCAAATTCACTGGAGCGTGTACCTTACAGGCGTGTGGCGGGTACCTTGCTTCTCCACAGAAAGAGCAATAATGGCGTAGGTGGCACTGTCTCTACACGAAAAGTTATCATTTATGACGTAATTGATAACTTGCGAAAAGCCAGATGTTCAAACATCGTTGATCTTGCTCCAACACGAAGCTGCCCTCAGAAATTCGCGTTAGGGCAGTATCGTAGTCATCGGTGATATTATTGTTAGTATTATTATTATTATTATTTATTATTATTATTATTATTATTATTATTATTATTATTATTATTATTATTATTAACAATAATGTTGTTGTTGTTGTTGTTGTTGTTGTTGTTGTTGTGTTTGTTGTTGTTGTTGTTGTGTGTTGTTCATTGATTTCAGTTTTCGGTATTCCAAAATATCCCAAGAAACACAACATGGGGGCAAATCGGGTGCTGTATACCTCTACTATAATCGGCCATGCAACAACAATTTGGCGCATGTATTACATCAGCCATTGAGGCTTATAATACACACTCGAAAACATGGTGTGGTGGCGCCATACTAATAACGCATCTTTCTTATTCTTTTCGCTCGTATTGATTACAAAATAAAAGTCACATAGACCATAGTTACTTTATTATGGGTCCATACTGCTTGCTGAGTTTCTTGAAAGTGACATGATACGGGCTTTGTAAGAATGGAAGGTAGCCAAGTATGGGCACTCCCCCTGGACCGGGTGCCGTAACCTTGTTTTTTGGACCCGCGCTTTTCGCACAAAAGCTCCTAATCTTGAGAACTGTGGCAAGGATGATAGCCAACCAAGTAGTAAACACCGTCCATGCAGATACCCATTCGAACATCTGGAAGAGATAAGGTTTTCTTACAATGAGGCCAGGCTACCGTTGGGTAAATTTAGAGTATTACACTCTGTCACGCTGGGCCATTTTTACAACAAGCACTGACAAATCAAGGGTTATTGACTTTGTCCACACGCCAACTATTACCTGTAGTAATAATCTCGTTGTAGCCACCGTTGTAGGTGTCACCGTCGTGGTTCCTATCAGGTACAGTCACACGCACTGGTTGTACATGTATCGCACTGTCTTGACCATTATAAAGCGAACAGAGCAAAAGTTGAGGAGTACATGTAGTCGTTAACTGATTGGAACTCATGAAACAGGGAATGTTTCTGGTGCCATTGTTTCGAGAGGCGGAGTTGTTATCGCCATGGTTGTCGAAACACTGGTGCCGACGACATTCCCTATTGTTCAGTTCGTTATCCTTATAATGTAGCACTTTTTACAGCTAGCGACCAAGGTGAAGATTTAGTGTTGACTGTTGACTTATTCGTGGAGATAGCCGTCCACGATAGTGAGACTGCCAGCGGGTTTTATAGCCGCGCGTACAATCATATAAGATCGAATAGCGAAACATAGAACACGAAGTGCATGTATATTTCAGTGCAGCTCTTCAATAGGTTGATGAACCACGTATCCCATTTAAGAGCCTTTGGAAAATTAAAACTGCTATGAAACTGCGTTAAGAGTACTGATAGATTAACCGAGATCTGAGTGATATGATGAAATTTCAAAGAAAATGGTTTCCGTCACTCACATGTGAGACCAAGTTCAGCAGTCTTCCAACGCTCATTTCCTCTGATGCTGGAATAAGGTGAAATTTCTGTAGCCTGAGGCTATCTACTCCGTGTCGTCACAGCAAACTATACATCAGTGAATTGTTATCAGTAAGACATTTTTGTTGGGCGTTGTCGTCAAGTCCTCCGCACAGACAAAAGTGTCACGTGAATGAAGATTACCTTGCTACGCCACTATCTTACGGCAGCCCTTGGGTCATAAGAGAGAAGGCTGAAAACACCATAAACTCATGTCTTGAAGGTATGTATACACGGCGTCTTGGCAAGCACTTGGAGCTTTTCGCCCAGAGCCTGTCATTCTTTCTAGTTCTATATACCTTCGTTGAGTCTCATTGGAGCTGAGCCCAGCGAATGCGTGTAGAAGCAATATTGAAGACGATGGTCTTTTTTGTGGACGTTCGACGCAAAAATTTTGGTCTGTCAGTCTGTTTGTCTCTACATTTGTCTGTTCGTTTTCTCTTAAAGGGCCACTCACCAGGCCCCATACTGAATTTTAGTTAGACAGTGGAAGTTGTTGGGTGTTCGATAAGGATCGTTTTGCCACAAAAATTTCTCGAATCGGTTCATTACGAGCGGAGAAAACAGGTTTTTTAAAGCAGCGCGAAACGAGGGTGAGAGGAGAAGAGTTCGAAACCCTTGCCGCTCCTCCGCGTAGCCTTCGCAAGCCAAACCTCTTCCCCACCCTCTCCGGCATCCGACCACGAGGTGACGTTCGCATGACGTGCCCGAACAAGCCCAGCCTCCGTGCACGCAAGAGGCGTTGCTTTGTTGAACAGCGTTATTTTGTGGTTTTCTGCCTGTTTCTGCGGGATTGTTTGGAAACGCTGGCTTAGACGCGGTAGAGTACATGAACACAATGAGTGCGTGAACGCGTAAGAGCGTTCCACGGTGGTCGTCTGCTCAATGCGCTGATTGCGGGGACACGAACGCATGCGCAACGCTGGCACATTAGCCCCGCATCTCGCAGCATTCCACGGGAAAAAATATAGGAAAAACGCGCACAATTTTTTTTTATTGCGTCTCATTATTTCAAGTTTTACTCGTCTCTTAAAGCAACAAATCCATAAACTACGCATGTTGTATTAAATATTTTTGCCGTGTCACACGTTATACTGTTGACAACGTCAGAGCAGACTCGTCTACGTAGAGGACCAACGTGACTGCAGTGCCGTGTACGTAGGGCCATTCCTACGCCCACGTCATGCCCTCATTCCCTACGCGTGCGCAGGTAGAGGGGAGGGCGAGCAGCTTTCATCTTGAAATTCGACCCATTTCCGCGGCGCGTAGCGTTGCAAATTTTGGCAGACGTGATCATGAACGCCTCGTCTACGCATTGCGCTTGTCAGCTCAATATTGTCAAACCTGGTGAATGGCCCTTTAAGGGCACCGAGTACTTGAAACGGCCGACCTCATACGCAGCGACCGCCATTTTTGTTCAAGGTTTAGCGTTCATACTTGTGCAATTGTCAATTAAAAAGAAATTATTGCGCATGTCTGGGGCACCATAACAACACGTATATATTCTGCATGTCCCTTTTTACTAGAAAAGGCATACATAAGTAACTTAATGGACCGTAGTGCTTATCACGCTGCGCTGACTATGCCACGCTTGCACGAAAAGGCGAGTGTTCCCAACGCTTTGCTAAGACGAGACGGTGGTGGCACCTACCCGTCGCCTTGCGTTCTACACCTTATCACTGAGACGGGCGCGCACACAAGTCTCAGAGCCACACGCTTGGTTTTCAAAAAAAAAAAACTGCCTGATGGCGCTCATGTCTCACGTGTGACGTGGCTTGATGCGTTTGTTCACCTCCGCTGCACGCTCGAGGTACTGTGACGCAGTGCCTCCAGGATACCATTCGCCGAATTTCTTGCGCAGAATATCAAATAAATGTTTTGTTCACTCTCTTCAGACGCAAGACTATCGTCTTTCGACGACATTTGCAGATAACATGCGGATACGGGGCCAATTTTTTCAAGTGTCTGACTCATCCGACAGTATTCCGTGATAATTCACTGCTACATGTTTTAACGGTCTTTGTTACAACTGCCCAAGACGCAATGAAGGGTTGCTAAGTAGGGACAACCAACTGTCTACGTGTCAACGCTAGCGCTTCATTATAGTTGAACTTCAAAGCGTAAGAGACCCCTGCGATTTCTAATTCTTTTAAAGTATATTTGACTTGGCTTTCCCTCTAGCCTTCAGCAATGTTTGAGAACCGAATTGGAAGTAGAAGCAGCTGGTGAAGCCCTTCCGGTGCGTTCTCTACTGCCTTTCGATATACTTACCTTCCCTGACAAATGCCATCAGTTATCAGCAGCAGTTTTATGTTTGCCCTTGCGTCCGTGTTTAGGGGGAGTCCAGGGGAAAGGAGTTTCATATTGGTGTTCTTGGCTGTAGACATTTATGGAGCTCCACTGCAGTAGTTAGGGACATGCAGCTGCCATTTGTCAGTTATTCCACGTTGAAATGCTTACCAAATGCCTCTCTGGGTCGCTAAGGTCACGTTATGGCCATGTTTTTATCTTCGCTAGCCCTGCAGCAGACGTGCTATGCCAGGCAGGCAAACCAGCCAGTGAGGCTTTACGTATCCGGAGATAGTACAATCCGGGTTTCGATGTTGTTTTTATTCAGGCGTGGCTAGAGAAGTGTTTGTTGATGTGGCGCGGTGGTGACACCGTGCTACACCGGAAAAGCTGGTCAAACACTGAAAGATGTGGAAGTTGCGCACAGGTTCTGTCAGTCTGAGATATGCCTAACTTGGCAGAGATAAGAGCAAATGTCTTTTGCTGAAATAGCAGGGCACTAAACGAGTACCGTCTAGTACCTGTAATGGCGCGAAAACTCTCATTAATGTGAAGTAATCATAACGAGCTTCATCCTTGACTTCATGTACATTACTAGCGTCCTTCTTCCTGTAAAACTTGCAACGGGTGGACAGAAAAAAAAGACGGATAGCAAGTATTCATTTATTGCGACGCAGTGGTTGTAGAATAGGGGAGTAATAGCGCAACACTTCACAATATGAAATTAGTCGTTCTCATTACGCAGTGGGTCATGCGCAGACCATGAGAAAACATACAAAAATTTACATCCCAATGGTTTAATGTGCTGTGTTTATCTCTCTTCCCTCTCTCCTCTCTATCTTTCATCCCCCATCCCCTTCCCATGTGCAGGGTAGCAAACCGGCTGCCAATAGACTGGTTAACCTACCTGCCGTTCTTTTCCCTCTTATTTTTCATCCTCTAAGTGGCAAGCATTGAAGTTGACATATTTCAGCATCCCTAGCTTTTGAATATCTGACATTGGGTTAAGATGTGCTCATGTCGCACCCGTGCCTGGTACTTTGCGAAGTGCATTTGTGTCACTGAAAAAAAATACAAAGAATAAATAATGCTGAAAGAACTCTCAACTATTATACCAACTCTCCTAAGCTTCCATTTCAGGAAATACAATTATGGATTCATTAAGATTCAATAAGCGCATCCCGTCTTAAGCGCAACTTCGACGTTTCGAGCGTTATGTGAACGTATGCCAGAAACAGTCGTCGTAGTAGCGGTCAGATGTTTCAATGTCGTTATATACGCATGGCGCATTTTTGAGCACATGTATTTAAGCTTTTTGTATGGATGTCTAGTCGTATTCCAACTATTGCCAAATGACACCCTGTGGGTAAATATAATTCCCAGTTGTTTTGCACTTTCTAAAGAAATGGCTGCATAATTATCATATTGCATACTACTAACTGCACAGTGCTACTGGAGTTACAAATTCATTCTTCCTTGGATAGCTTGCAAACCACCTGCGAGCAGAATTTGTAGAAAAGATCAGCTTGGGTCAATAGACAAATAGCCTAATTGTAGCGTCCGCAATATTGTTCATGCGGTGATCATAATTACTTTTAATTTTGAAACCATGAGTGGTAGATAATCTAAAATTTTACATATCTTCCGTTTTTTTCTCATCACACCTGACCGGTCATCCAATGAGCTATGCATTTGACACTGCTTCATTCTTCGTGATGCCACTCGGAAGGGTAGGTCATATTTCATCGTTAGTAGACTTCCTCTAAGTGTTATAACTATATCGTATGATTCAAGAAATTTTATTTATTGAACGTTCAACGTGCGTCCCAGTTTTTTTTTTTGTTACTCTATAAACACTAGACGTTCTTTAGAGACTGAAAATTGAGGTTCTGTGTGGAAACACCTTCGCTCAACGTCCTACGAAGCGTAGTTTTTGTGTGTGATTCACCACAAGAAATAAAATCGATTTTAGGCTCGAGGGAGATGACCTTGCCGTCCTAAGGAAGCACCCAGAAGTGTAAGCAGCGTGGCTACATTAAAGAACACTTCCATCATACCCAGGTTCTCACCAGGGCAAGCACCTGGAATCGGATGAATTGCATACTTTAGGGGTGGAAAGGTATACTAGCTTACAGCTCGAGTGGAGTCAACGTCTGCAGCCCGCGCCGTTTTCTCAAAAATAAGCATGATGGCACAAACGTTTATACATAAATGTCTTCGCACACCGTGGTATGTAGAAACTTAGTGAGTTTAGCCGGTTATAGTTTTTAAAATCGACTTTCTATGCAATGCAGTGGCTCCTCGCAGTGCACAAACCTTAAGCACGTAGTTGAAGATGCCTTACATTTAAAAACACATCTTTGTTTCCTGCCTGACTTACTCCGGCTTTTTCAAGATATCGTCATCCCCAGCAGACAGACAACGTCAACTGTAGGACAAAAGCCTTTCCCATATGTTCAGCCAAACAACACGGTCCTGTGTTTGCTGCATCCGCATCAAACCGACGAACTTTTTTTATTCCATCCGCCCACCTAACGTTCTGTCTTCTCCTAGTCCGTTCACCGTTTCTTTGAATCAAGTCATTTACCTTTAGTGGCTAGTTGTTATATTCTCTACGTGTTAGATGTCCTTGCCTATGTCCGTTTCTTCTGCTTGATTTGGACTAGTAAGTTCTTAACACCCGTTTTTTTTTTCTCTGGACCACTCTGCTATCTTCATAATTCTTAAGGTTACGCTTATCATTTTCCTT